TGCCATCATTATAGTGGATAACTTATCACATTTGTATAAATACCCAGAGTACAGAACTGAGACATGAGAGGCAAAGCAGTCAAATGTAAGAGTTTATTTATAAAGTGGAAGCCAGGGGATCTCTGCAGGAGGACCAAGGGTGAGTAATGGAGTCAGTAATGTTCCAGATATACACTCAGGAGATCCTCATCAGCTGATTGGAAGCAGCTGAGAGTAGCTGGTGTCGCCCTGCCACTCAGGAACTGTAAGAGGTGATGAACGCTGACAGGAAACCCAGAATCCCCACACTTGTATTTTTAATATAATTTATTTTATTATCCAACCTCATGAGGTGATGAATTTGAACCATCAGTTTGATCGTGAGAAGGCCTAAAAAGATATTTATTATTTACACTTTGAAAAAAAAAAACGTGTTTCATCAAAACAGCAGCGCTAGCTAATGTCAGAAAACCAATTTGAGCCAGAAAACACAGACATTTGTATTAGGGACAAAATAAAATAGTTAAACTTTATTGTTTTGCAATGTGTCACGAGCCAAAACAGTTTAAATATAGTAGATCTGATCAGCAGACTTTTATTTCTTTGGCCCGGGGAAACTTTTCTGGCAAATCTATCAGAATAAAGCAAATCTACAGATTCTGTTGTGATTAGACAAGTTAGAGATGGAAGCAAAAAAGAACATTGTTACATGTGCAGAAAACGATAATTTGTATTTCCTGTGATGTCGACATCAAAGATGTTTATACTACAATGAAGTCAAGCTGACTCGGTTATTAAATTATGATTCAACAGTGACTGTTAAACAGCTACAGTTAATGTTGCACTACTGTAGGTCAAATTGTAAATCAGACAAATACATTTTTTACAGCTATAACGATACCGTTTTTATTTCCCTCGTAGCTCATAAAAAGAGAAGAATTAGATGTGGTATGAAGACACTGAGGACATTTCCAAGTACCAATCTCCACTGCCCGACACGAGATGTTGAGCAATTATCAAGATGTTTGTCACTTACCGTTTATCAAAATGAAATTTCTGCCACTTCCATAATCACAACAAGTCAGAGCCGTTCTGTTTTCATTCCTTCAGAGCAGCTTGAATTCCAGGCAGATTGAACTGATCGTGAGCGGTTATGGAAAAGATCAGAACTCGAGAAACTTCTGCAATCAAACTGTCAACACTTTTATTTCTGCCTCAGTATGTGTGGACACTGGCTATTATGTTTAGAATTGTCCATGCACATAAGTTTAGCCTAAATATATTTAAGTTAATATCATGTACAAATGGGCTTCTTTTTTTATTTTTCAGAAAGTGAAATTGCAAGCTGTTGGCTGAAACTGATTAAATTAATTTAGCTTCTGTTTAGATTCAAAATGATATAAAAAAAAATGGAGGTCTTCAGCTCTTTGCATGACTTTGTCATATAGTTTTACTGTTTAGCAGTAAAACTGTTTCAGCCGCTTAAAAAAAACCCTCAAATTACATTTAATTGTGCCTTGCATTGTAATATTGCACATTGTGCCCAAACAAGGAAGTAATGTAAACATAAAACAGGTGTGTCACAAACACAAAGATGAATTTAAGGAAATAGAAAATAACTAAGTTTGAAGAGAAACAGAAAATATGCACATTGCCCATGACTGTGGTTTTAGGTGCGGAGATTTTTTTAAGGGTACAGGAGAAACTGCTTGAAGTGGCAGCTCTTATGTGATATTAAGAAGCTCCTAAGTGGCTGTTATGTTTAAAATGAGTGTTTATGTAATTATTGTCTGATTACATATCCAATATAGGTTTTATTTGTTCAAGACAGTCATATTTGTTCGTTAAGCCTGAGAGTTACTGGATCCAAGCAAACAGTTACCTGCCAAAATAAAAGAGTTCCCAGATCCTGTTCCAGCAGAATCCGGCTCAACTCAAGCCCTACTGTTAAGGCAAATTACTCGTTTCATATTAAAATGGGATTTTTTTTTTTTTTTTTTGCTTGTAATTGTAACAAAACTTATTTCTTGGTTTAAACACAAGACCTGAGCTGAAATAACAGTGATGTTCAATATAAATAAAACTACAACCTTCACCCCTAATTGCCCTGTGCTTTAATCTGTGGTTCCAACAAACATGGTTTAATCTGTCCTCGTATGCGCAGTGTGTCCAAAGACGATAATGATGATGTGATCCTGGATCAGGCAGTCAATGCAGCATCTTCTTGGTTCAACGCCTGACCAGATTCTTCATGCTGTCCATGGTTAACACTCTGCCCAAGTCATCTGCTTTGCACAGGGTGCAGGACGCGTATAGCATGAAGCATTTAGAATTCCAGTCACTGTCTCAAGTAGTTTTGATCAGCTCTTGGTGTGGATTGGAGTCAGAACTTGGTTGGAATCCATAGGCTTCTCATAAATACTTATAGTGCTGATACTGCATCATAGTTCAGAAACAGAAAGTAGAAAACTAAAATATGTTTATAGCCACAGTGCATAAGTTGCATGTGGATTTTCTGAGTTTAATATTTGGGGGCTTGATTTAAGGTATTGAATATTAAAAATGGTAATTTTAGTTTTTAATATTATGCAATGTACTCGGGCTGCAGTTGCTCAGTGGTTAGGTGCCGCTGCCTTGTAACACTGGGGCTGCCAGGTTGCATCGGGAAGGGAATCCAGTGTAAAACCAAATCTTTTATACAAGTTTACTCATTGTAGCAACCCCTGCAGAAGGGAGCTGCCGGAAGAAACTGAGGAAAACATTTGAGTCTGCAGTACTTTTATATAAAAAAAAAAGGTACCACTTCACAATAAGGCTCCCCTTATAGATGGCTAATAAATAGTTTATAGATAAGTTATTAACTCCTCTGAAAACACTTTATAAACCATTAATATCTGCTTATTATACATTAATTAAGGATGAAAGAGAGACAAAACTGGCCAGTTTGTTGCCAAATAGTGAGACGAACCTGTTCATCTATGTATTTCATCTAGAGTTGTTATATTAAACATATCAGACTAAGTTACTACCTTGTAAGCACAATAAGTATTTGTAAACCTTTTTTTTTTTAGGATATAATATTAGTTGTAGAAACTTATGATGCAGTGATAAAGTGCAACATTATATGCTAAAGAAATAGGTTTACAAATGCTCTTGTGTGCTTACAAGGTAGTAACTTAGTCTGAAATGTTTAATGTAACAACTCTATATGAAATATATAGGTGAACAGATTTGTCTCACTATTTGGCAACAAGCTGGTCAGTTTTGTCTCTCAGTCACCCTTAATTTATGCATAACAAGCAGTTATTAATGAGTTATAGTGTTTATAGAGGAGTTAATAACTTATATATAAACTGTTTATTAGCCATCTATAAGGGGAGCCTTATTGTAAAGTTATACCCAAAAAAATCAATATCAAATTTAACGTCTTTAGATTCTACTTCTGCTTTTCTTTTCTTCTTTTTTTTTCAAAGTATATTTTCATCTCTGGTGTCCCTCCTTTGGTTCAAGGAGCAGAAAATGTGTCCATTGCCGGTGCAATAGTTTTAAAATAAAATTTTTGTTTGACAATCCCCATAGTGCTGAATTTACTGCTGAAACAGCACAAATGCAAACGGCTGCTCCTCAGTTATCATCACAAACTCGACAGAAAAGATTGTTGTAAAAGGAGGAAACAGAAAACTACTGGATGTAATAATTTTGTGTGGATGAGCATTCTCTCCTGCACGATTTTCTTCTGTGAGTCTCCCCCCCACCACCACCACCACCATCACTACCACCCCCTCCTTTGGTGGATGGTGCTTGTTTAGACTGTGTTATTGTTTCTTTATGTAACACTGCTGAGCCAGAGAAAGAATGGGCCTGGTGAACACCACAACAATGCTGTGATGGATGAGGGTGGCCGCTGTAATTATATGAGGACCAACAGGTAACGGAGCACAGAGACAGAGAGCAGTGGCCTGCCCGGGGATGATAGCACAGATCTGCTCTGTTTTGTTTCTTTTAGCTGTGCTGTGAGGCCAACAGAGCCTCACACACCAGAGTAAACACACATATGAAGAATATCCACGGTGCTTCTTCAGATGCACGCACACACTCTGTATAAATGCTAACATATACTCCAGTTGATGTTTCTGAGCTGGTACATAGCCCTGTTTCTTATTTTGAATGCTGCTTTGGCAATATTGCTTGTGATAAACAGCTCTGCCGATGAACACGGTGAATCAGTTCAGAGCAGTGGAAAGATGCCACAACAAGGTTTTCCACTTGAGTGTATTACAGAATTATTGTCGCAGACGAAAGCTAACAGAGGCAGACAGATTGAGGTCGTTACACAAGAGAAGCAGATGAGAGGGAAGGAAGATGAAAAGGCTTTGGGGGTGCCTTCCTGCTGTTTCAATATAGTGCTGCAGAAGATGAGGGAGATAGACAGAGGTGGTTGAAGAAG